TTCTCTCCCTTCCATCCTCCTTTCCTTTCCCTTTCCTTTCTCCCTCCCTCCCTTCTCTACTTTCTTCCTTCCTCCTCTCCTTCCCCTTCCTTCTTCCCTTACCTCTCCTTTACTCCTACTCTTCCTCTTTCCCTTCCTACCCTCTCTCCTTCCTTTTTTTTCCCTCCCATCTTCCTTTCCTTTCCTTTTCCTTTCTCCCTCCCTCCCTTCTCTACTTTCCTCCTTCCTCCTCTTCTTCCCCTTCCTCCTTCCCTTACCTCTTCCTTACTCCTACTCTTCCTCTTTCCCTTCCTACCCTCTCTCCTTCCTTTTCTCTCCCTTCCATCTTCCTTTCCTTTCCCTTTCCTTTCTCCCTCCCTCCCTTCTCTACTTTCCTCCTTCCTCCTCTCCTTCCCCTTCCTTCTTCCCTTGCCTCTCCTTCGCACCTACTCTTCCTTTTTCCCTTCCTACCCTCCTTCCTTCCTTTTCTCTCCCTTCCATCTTCCTTTCCTTTCCCTTTCCTTTCTCTCCCTCTCCCTGAGGTAGACATTTTTGACTTGTGGCAATACATCCTACGGCTGCATATGTGTGTGCGGAAGAGGGGGAATATAAATGACAAGCCTGTCAACAGATTCAGACATGAACAAATGTTACCAAAAATCAGATTTGTCAGCATAGATTCCCCCTGGAATGCCTAAATCCTTGTCGATATAACGTCTATGAATTATCCTCCAGGGAGAATTTCTTCTAATTAAAGAAGTACTCCCTAGAGGGAATAATTCATCAATATTACGTCCACAAGAATTCAGGCATTCCGAGAGGAATTTATACTGACAAATTCATTCAATCTTGATTATTCTATGCATTCAATTATTTGCTGGGACAAATACAATCATTCTGGTAGTAAGCGTACGTCGTATTGAAATAAGAGTGTCATGCACTTAAAAGCACAACACTGATTTATTTACATTCATAGTTTAAAGCAACTAACAATATTAGTTAATATTTAGGCTGCTTTGAACAATAATTACAGAGGCAACATTTGAATCAACCTGGGCTAAAGGCTTTTCTTAAATGGAGCATTTTAAATAAAGATACACAACACTTTAGATCTGAAGCAAAAACAAAGCCTTGCATCCTGCACCTGTTGTTATCTTCTTGATGTGTCTTTGAAGTTGTGTCTTTGATGTATTCATCTGACTGAGTAATCCTAGAAAAAATATATGTTTGAGGTAAGAAGCTAGTGACAGCACATCCTTGCTTGCTCCAAAGCTGCTTCTCACCGTATGTTAACCGCTCCTTACCTCAAATGCCTGTTTTCTTAGTACAACTATCTAAGCATCCTGGAAAAACATTGCTGCTTTAAGGAGGCACCAGCAAGTGGGCTATGCATGCCCATACGTACTTCAAAGCACATAGCATCCCTAATTTTACACTAGATTTTTAGAAACCAGAAGAGAGCGAAGCAGACTGATTTAGGCCAAGCGCCGAAAGATAATAGTGTCATTACAGAGAAAATCCCAAATGGCTTAAAGTTTGTGAGGGGTGGGGAGACAACACATGACACTTTAGCTTATGCAATTTCTAAAATTTCTGGAAATGTATCTTAATGCCGTAATTTAAGGCCAGCTTTGGTTTTGAGATATTGGGTTCCTGTCAATCTGAGGCTATGTTGTTACTGTGGGGAAGTAAAGATATAGTGGAAATATCATGTTCCATTTCTGCCTTCTTTTTCTTGTAATACCTGTTCTTTGTTTAGCTATCAAGGCGGATTCCTACGTAAAAACTATTTTTCTTATTTCTCCTCCATGAAAAATTGAATTGAATTGAATTGAATTTATTGCATTTATATGNAAGTGGCCTGAAGTACTGCACCTTAACCACTGCGCCACCTCGGCTCTTCAATTTTATAGATATCAGACCTGCTTCCAAAATAACGTGACAATATTTGGAGTCCAAAACTGATTTTAAGGGACAAAATGGATTTTCCTAAGCAACCCACTTGTCGTTAATGCTAACCATTCTATCCATTAGATTTGTGTATCAGTAATTACATGACCTCCGTAGATGCCGTATACTAAATAAATAGCCATTCTCCCCTACAGAAAACCCTAAAGGTTGCAAGATATTTTTTTTTAATGTCATGGGAATGCAAGAGAAATAATTGCCAAGTAAAATATGCAATTCGTTTGCAAAATCACTGATGAAAATCAACACCTACCCATTAGTTAACATTTAAGCTGATTAATGGCGGTTAAGCCTTTTAAAGTGTTTAGCTTTAGCATCCATCTGCTGAACTCCAGGACTAGATAATATCTTCTTAGGGAGCAATGTTTAAGGGCAATGACTGGCTAGACTTAGGAAATAAATTAGATCACCTCATCTACTGGTGACCTGGAGAGACAGCTGCACTTGAACTCCATCCAACCCTCATGTGCCCCAGATGTTTCACATCTTTTTGACTTGGATCAAAGCAGAATAGTTGATAAATCAAATGTTTGCACTAGATAAAGAGCTTCCAAAAACCTTGGCGCTTCTGAGGGTCAAGGTATCTTGAGCAAGAGCAGTAAAGCCAAGGCTGCAGTTTTGTCAGGAAGGCAAAAGCGAAGTGAAATGAATCAGGGATATGAGGGAAAG